TGGCCCCCCCCCCCCCCCCCCCCATCTCCGCCCTCCTTTTCAACCCTTCTACCTGGCATGCATACGTTATTTTCGTTATTTTTCATACACTAGCAGTATTCTTCTACAAAGCATTCTATTTACAAAGTTTCGTAAATATTTCTTAATATTATTCACTCTATGAACGTATATAAAATGTCTTTTTGACATTTCGGTACGGTAATATTAACATCATAAATCCTTAGGACACGTTTTTCATCATACAGAGTGCTAGTCGACGCGGATTAACCAGATTAAGCTTATTAAAATTGTATAGAGAATTGTTGTGTATTGAACAAAATTTGCTGATTTATAAAGAATATTAATAAAAAGTCTGTTCACGTATTGTGAGATATATGGACGTTGGATATTATAAAAGTCCTTATAGACCACAAATAGTCAATTGACACTTCGTCATTACTTCAGTGGCCGACCAATTTTTTTGGTAATAAAATAAAAAAAAATGAGTAATTCATTTCTTATTCAAATAAAGCCTCTAAAAAGTCGTGTAATGAATAGAATCATTACATAGTTATCAACATTTCTTTCGCCAGTGGCGGATAGCCAATATACATAATGAAAAATGGCTAATTTTTTCCAATGGTCTCCTTTGGAATTATGAATGCAATTGTTGGTGCCATTGAGGTCCTGAGATGCCAATGTGACATATTTAGGTGTGCAATGGAGAGAAATGCTCTTTATTCCTATAATTTCTCAAATATGGCCAGTGACGAATATCCAATATGGCGGACTGGCCAGTCTAAGACGAAGCTTTATTTTTGCACAGTCCACAGTAAAGGGGGTGGGGCAGACTTTTGGATCGAATTAGCACAAGCTCAATCACATGGTGCCTTCCGACCTGTGAATATCTCTAAAATTCCAAAATAATGGTATTTTCATGCCTAACTGTGTTACTGCATTGCCAGTCAATGACGAAGCCCCTACATGTCCAATTTTTGATATATGGCCAATTTTTTCCTATGGTTTGCTATGGAATTATGAATGACATTTTTGGTGCCATTGAGGTCCTGAGATGCCAATCTAATATATTTAGGTGTACAATTGGGAGAAATGCTCTTTATTCCTATAATTTCTAAAATATGGCCAGTGACGAATATCCAATATGGCGGACTGACCAGTCGAAGACGAAGCCCATACATGGCCAATTTTTGCACAGTCCACAGTAATGGAGTGGGGCAGACTTTTGGATGGAATTGGCACAAACTCAATCACATAATGCCTTTCGACCTATGAATATCTCTAAAATTCCAATATAATGGTATTTTCATACCTAACAGTGTTACTGGCCAGTCAATGACGAAGCCCCTACATGGCCAATTTTTTAAATATGGCCAATTTTTTTCCTATGGTCTGATATGAAATTATCAATGGCATTTTTTGTGCCAGTGAGGTCCTGAGATGCCAATCTGACAAATTTTTAGATGTACAATGGGGAGAAATGCGCTTTATTCCTATAATTTCTCAAATATGGCAAGTGACGAATATCCAATATGGCGGACTGGCCAGTGAGGTCCTGAGATGCCAATCTGACAAATATATGGCCAATATGGCGGACTGGCCAGCCAAAAACGAAGCCCCTACATGGCCAATTTTTGCACAGTCCTCAGTAATGGGGGTGGGGCAGATTTTTGGATGGAATTGGCACAAACTCAATCACATAGTACCTTCAGACCTGTGAATATCTCCAAAATTCCAATATAATGGTATTTTCATGCCTAACTCTGTCACTGGCCAGTCAATGACGAAGCCCCTACATGGCCAATTTTTGATAAATGGCCAATTTTTCCTATGGTCTGCTATTGAATTATGAATAACAATTTTTGGTGCCAGTGATGTCCTGAGATGCCAATCTAACATATTTAAGTGTGCAATGGGGAGAAATGCTATTTATTCCTATAATCTCTCAAATATGAGATGAGATGCCAATCTGACAAATTTTTAGATGTACAATGGGGAGAAATGCGCTTTATTCCTATAATCTCTCAAATATGGCCAGTGACGAATATCCAATATGGCGGACTGACCAGTCAATACCTAAAATGATACGTGCAATGTCCTTTCACTTTCGACATTGTACATTGAACAAAGCATAATTATTGTCTTTGCGTGGTGGCTATTTAACACTGGCGTGGTGAGCGTGGTAAATAGCCATAAGTACCCTTACAGCTATTTACCACGGAGTGGCAAATAAAATTTGTCATAATTTGATATTTTTTTCGGGAAAAATTGCTTAAAACTACCTAGATATTCCAAATAACGATTTTGCAATCAAAAACTCATCATGTCCATCAAAATTTCGCTTTTTGAAAAAAAAAATGTCGTGTTTGTTTACAAATAAATGTCAAGGCCAATTGTGAAGAGTTCACGGTTCAAGGCTATTTCAAAAGTTACGCGTTGTATGAAATTTGGTGTACATCCATTTGTTCTTTCGGCAATGGATTTTAATTACAAATTAGTCAAAATTTACTTTTAACCTTGTTAAACCTTGCTTATTACAAGTATATCTATTCAAAATCAATTCAGGATTTATCTTCCCCAACAATCGTAAGGGTATTTTGTTCGAAATGATGTTTTGAAAATAAATTCCGGCATTTTATGCAATTTGTCTCCTAATATTACTACGATTTTACAAGTAACTACAGTGGCGTATTTAGAGGGTAGTACCCTCGAAAAGTCAAAAAAGGGATAAAGGTGCCCATCACCCCCGTCTATGGAATCTTGGCTACGCCAACACTTTTCATGTTCGTTCTAGGTCCGTTCGCTCCACAATATTTTGTGACACAAAAATCCACAATCCACAAATTTGGACAAAATGTTTAAATGTGTGTTTAATTGTCAAACTTGGTCACCTACAAATGTAAAAAAGGACCCTTCCGGTCTTACGTGACTTAAAAAACGGACTTGTCAGTCTTTCATTTAAACATTTTCCAATTTGTCGTCCAGAAATTTGCCTTCACTAACACATTATTTCTCCAAATGATCCTATATTTATTAACATGAATTTAGAAACAAACAAAACAATTATGTGAAAAGTACCAAATTTTTTTTAAAAGGGACAGTTACGCCAATTTTTTGATCAATCATACTTTAGTCTCTGAAAAGGGATTGTTTAGCTTAGCCAATCAATAACAGTGTTCACAGCTCACCGTCAAAATTTGAGCCTTCAAACTCACATGTGTCCAAAATTATCCGTGTTTGAAACTAGTATACATATATTGACAGTGTTTGACTTTAGTTTGTAGTAAAGGTCAGTAATAGTACAGATATTGACAGTAGTTTGTTGTAGAGGTCAGTAGTACATATATTGACAGTGTTTGACTGTAGTATGTAGTAGAGGTCAGTAATGATATAGATATTGATACTGTTTGACTGTAATATATAGACTATAGGTCAGTAATAATACAGATATTGATAGTGTTTGACTGTAGTATGTAGTAGAGGTTAGTAATGATACAGATATTGACAGTGTTTGACTGTATATTATGTAGTTGAGGTCAGTAATAATACAGATATTGATAGTGATTGACTGTAGTATGTAGTAGAGGTTAGTAATGATACAGATATTGATAGTGTAGTGTCTGTAGTATGTAGTATAGTTTAGTAATGATACAGATATTGATACTTTTTGACTGTAGTGTCGGTAGTTTATTGTCGAGGTCAGTAATGATACAGATATTGACAGTGGTTTGGCTGTAGTATGTTGTAGAGTTTAGTGATGACACAGATATTGATTCTGTTTGATTGTAGTATGAAGTAGAGGTCAGTAATGATACACGTATTGACTGTTTTGACTGCAGGTTATAGTAAAGGTCAGTAATGGTAGATATATTGATAGCGTTTGACTGTAGTATGTAGAAGAGGTCAGTAATGATACAGCTATTGATAGTGTTTGACTGTAGTATGTATTAGGGGTAAGTAATGATACATATATTGATAGTATTTTACTGTAGTATGTAGTAAGGGTTAGTAATGATACATATATTAATAGTGATTGATTGTAGTAGTTTGTAAAAAAGGTCAGTAATCAGTGTAAAAGAACAAGTTATATTGTGATAGGGTTCATCGTTTGTTGATAATAATCGATTCCACCAAGTTTCGTCAAAATCCGTTAACAATTGTGCATTCTACACTGTTTAAAAGCTAAAAATTGAACGCATTTCCAAGTATAAGGGAACCAACTCATATCAAATATTTCTTAGATTTTTTTTTATTTGCATAGGGCTCGTTATAATCGATAATAATCACTATTTGATAATCAAGTAAGAAATTGGATGCTCAGTACGAAGGCTTTGATGTTTTCCTTGCGCCAATAGTCCAAATATGGGAACAGTTGTCGACAAATCCTACGTATATCATCCGCCGCATTGAGTCTATTTCTAGCTTTAGTTTTGATGAGTAAAGTGTCGAGGTTCGCCTCGGTTCGTCGTGTTGAAGGACACAAGATATCCTGAAACTCGATAATTCTTCTCCTACAATAGTTAGCCGCACCCTAGACCCCAGGGGGTGAAAAAAAAAACACACTGGGAACCAGGAATATACAGTATTATAGCTTGAAATTTAAAATTTCAATAAAAGTCTGTCAAAAGTATAGCTTGAAAATGTATATGTAAACGAATTGCTGAAGCATTCCTTATAGTTCACATCATATAGCGATTGTAGAAATGTTTTGGACTGTGAAATTTAGCGTCCAAAATGCCCGAAAACCACAGTCACCGATATTAAATATTTATATTTTTGAAACCTAAAAAGTGTGATTTTTTGAAATAGTACAAAAAAAATTGGATGAAATCCCCTAAATAAAAAAAAACGTGGTAAAATTTAAATATCCCCTTTTTTTTCTCCATAGACTAACATGGTGACATTGGCCTAATTTAACAACGCCGTGGTATATAGCACTGAGCTATATATAGCTGTAAGGGTACTTATGACTATTTATCACGCTTACCACGCCAGTGGTAAATAGCCACTGCCCTTGACAAATTCGCAAACTAATTCAAAGTCTGTGAACTGACTGCATTAATGGCGTTCCATAGACCAGACCTGTGTAGATTTTCGTGTGAGTTTCTCCTACCGTTTTTTGGCCGCTAGTTTTTGAGAATTTTCAACATGAAAAAAAAAACACAAAAACTACCGAACCAAAAATGGATCGAAGCAATTATATGTGATTAGTCATCTTTGGTGGATGTAGGCCTAACATTTTAACAAAACTCTTTATTTTGGATTGTCAAAACATCACTAGAACCACACTCCTCTGTTTTCCAAATAAAACCAAAGTAAACCATAACTGAAGACGGTCTTGTTTAATACCTGTAAGGTGGTGGACTGTTATAAACTGTGGTCCCTAAAATAAAACGTTTATTATTTCCAAAAATATAAAGTAATTCCTAAACATTCATTTATTTCATTACGATTATTACTATTATTTCTATGGTTGCATTTAATAAGTGTAATTGGATAGTTTACAACTTGTTATCAATGCGATTTATTCGTCACTGAAAATGTACAACATCTTACCAGGTACAGTTGTAACATGAGGATCATGACAACCATGTGATTGGTAGACAATGGTTCCTCGCCTTCTTCTACATATTATAATCAATATAGCTATAACTACTGCCAGGGCACAAATACCACCAATTACACTACCAGCTACAACTCCGACAGATATACTAAAATATTTACAATTTCAATGGTATAGGCTACGATATTTCACGTTCAGTGACGTCTGCAGAACTTTGGCTGTGGACCATCTCAATTTTGTTCTAATCCATTCAAAAGGTGTCAGGGAAAATTTTCTGCAATTTGAAAGGTATTTTTTCCAATATTCTTACATTCTTGAAATAATGGGGAAAAATTAATTTTGGGCGTCTCGACGAGGGAAGCGTGTCCATCTATACTTACTAAGTGTTACAACACACAGTAGAAAATGTTGACCCACAACATCCATAGGCACAATATTTAGAAGAACTGACTCCAAAACTGGTATAGTAACAAATAGATGCCAACGTACCTGCAGTCAAATAAAGATTAATCGAAGTATCCAAGTTTCTTAATGGCTTTGATTCTATTATAGGAATTCAAGTTTTATTATTTTAGAAACGCCCATTTTGACTACATCTTAGATACAAGAATTTATTAGTATGTCATACCAAAAATATCAGTTTTACGGTGTTATGAATATTTAAGCTACTTACCAGAAAATAAATTCAAAAGGACTAATGCTGCCAATAACTTCATTTTCATCAAATTAAATTGCCCTGTCAAACCTGTCTATTTGTGGTAAAAAGATTCACCAATTTTATCGGTATTGAGAAATATCTTTCGTTATCTATCATGAAATTATCATATGATAAATGGTTCAAACAGTTCAAAATGTATCAATTTCAACCTGATGATATAACGTATATTATAACTCGATAGATAGGCCTGACGAGTTATCTCATTTTTCACCTGTACGTAGCCCTCCGCAAACGCAAAAGAAAGATAGTGGTCCACAGCCATATACGCCTACTGCGGGTGGTAAATATATATTAAAGATTATGGGGCAAGGGCAATAACTCTGCTTCTTACGGTCGAAAATAGCTCAAATTCAAACTTGATCTTCGTTTTATGAATATGTCTACACATACCCAATTTCATTTGATTCCATCAAAAAATCTAGTTTTTAGAGCGTTTACAAGCAAATGTTGACGGACGGACGGACCAACGGACGGACATGGGTGACGGCAATATACGCCCCCCATTTCATGTGGGCGTATAAAAAACACCTTGCTCAATAATAATATTATCATGACATGCGTCGCCCGTCGAGGCTACTGTACAATTTATAACTGAACCGTCACCAAAACACAAAGCATAAATTATTCAGTTTGAGATTTTCTTTTTAGATATTTATTTCCTGATTAGAATATTTAATAGGTTCAGGAAAGTTTAATCATTTACATTTTTTTTTTGCATTTGCGTTTTCTTTTTATTTGCTACTGTATAATTTTATAACTGACCTTTCGCCTCACCCTCTACCTGAGGTAGAGAACAAAGCATAAATGATGCAGTTTTAGATTTTCATTTCACAACAATATTTCCTAGGTTTTAACTATCCTGTAGATGCATGTCATAGCTGCAGAACACATCCACCGTCGGGAGAGGAACCCCAAACCCACTTCAGCCCACGGGCCCCTACTCATCTATACAATTGAAACGACTAAAGTAACCAGTCTTCAGTAACCCTTTAAGCCATGATATAGAAAAGCGGCCAATGAAACAGAATAATGACTCGCTGTAAGTGCATTTCCATAGTATGAAATAAATATTCCACGACATTGGCTTGAGCTTTTTGTTTTCATCTGCAAAATAATGCAAGTCTCAAACGGACATCATAGCCTCTTTTTTAAGTGGGATAAACAACCTCTTAAATCATCTCACTAAATCCAGCATTTATTATACAATAAAACATTGCTTTATTATTTTGGCTATTTGTATTTTGCGCAAAATACAGATTTATTTGTTCCGTTCCATTCCGCAATATACAAATTTATATCCCTGATCTGTATTTTGCGGAACGGAACAAGATCATAATCTTTGTTTCTTTTCATCGTTACATTGCCTTTACCAATCTACTCGTCTTGTAACAAACTTCTCTGATTCAAATTCTATCATTTAACAGCACTCCCGGATGGTATATATAAAAAGCTCAGCAACGAAGCAGAATTCAAAATTTTAATCCATTCATTCTCTTATCATTATTCCCCAACCTCAAAGCGAACCCTTCATGCCGAAGGGCTTGTTCAATTTGTAAAATGGACCTGTATCACAGACTTCAGAACAGGATATACATGTATTGCGAAAATACAAAATATTGAATTTCTTTATTCTCTATAATATGGTCTATAATCTACTAGTACTCTATCTTTTTTGCATGGTTTTGTAGTTATTTTGCCTGTTTTAATCAATCAAAATTAATGGCACCTTGACTATTATGGGCCAATAGATTAATAAATGAATTTGAAATCTGTTAATCATGACGTGATCCTAAATCAGAAAAAGCTAAGAGACTTTTTGTTCCGTTCTGTGTTGATTCACCAACCAAATACTATATCTTGAGGCCTAATTCATGAATATCTGGGTGCCTCTCGTACTTACTAAAACATGAACCGACCAGAAACGACCAGTGAAAACGTGAAACGACCTGGAACCGAGCAGAAAAACGCCCAGGAAACGACCTCAAACTATTTTGCAATGAATTCTAAGCATGTTAATCATGCCGAAAAATCATCAATCATTTTCGAAATAATGAAATATTAGAGTGACCCCTTCTTGATGTTTTTAAATACCCTCATGTCAATTATCATTTTCCTGATTCTTCTTTTTATCAGAAGTGTAAGTTCGTTTTGAAGTTATTTAAGGGAATAGGACTGCGTTCACAATCTTTGCTACCAGTATAATGTCGTTTAAGACGAAATTTAAGTTGACCTTTTACAAACTTAATGAATTAGAGTGTCCCTTTAAACTTAAAGGAATCACAATATAAAGATTTTGTTAAATTTGTTATACAATGTTATACATCAAAATGAATTGAGTGTGGGTAATGTGCGTTATATCACAGTCAGAATGCACTCAGCTGGGAAATATGAAAGACAAGGTCATTAAGTGAACTTCTTCCAAATGCACATTTTTTAAAAATGATTGATGATTTTTCGGCCTGATTAACATACTTAGAGTTTATTGCCAAATAGTTTGAGGTCGTTTCCTGGTCGTTTTTCTGGTCGGTTCCAGGTCGTTTCACGTTTTCATTGGTCGTTTCCTGGTCGTTTTTGGTCGGTTCATGTTTTAGTAAGTACGCGTACTATCGCGAATACCATTCACACCAAATGCAAATTCAAAATATTCGAAAGCATACTGGTTTGACATGAGCTGATCTCATTTTTTCAATACGTGTTTCGGATATAAAATCCTCATCAGGACAGCTGATAATTTAAACTTTCCAAATTATTGTACGACCACTGTAATATCCGAAATATTATCGTGTTTTATGGATTGTTTTTGGGTGGATTACAATATCAACTTCAAAATTGTATATCAATTTGCGTTAACGAATATATATAATTATGAGCTGGGAAATTTGTTTTACAGAGGGCAATTTCCAGGCATAATTTAGTATATTTATTATTCAGTCGAAATTTCTGGTATGAATGGACGTTTCTAATCAGTATAAACTTATGCAAATTTCTTTTTTAGTCAACACAAATTCATTCTAAGACTATCAGTACCCTTTTGAAATTCAAATTCATTTAAATTCCTTCGATTCAACGGAATTTGCCTATGAACGTTATTTCA